AAAATGGGTGTCAAACACACCCCTAATGTGTAATGGACACTTTCTCATTTTACCACAAATTTTCCAACATATTTCAAGTTCAAATATTAATTTCGAGCAACTAAAAATGCTATAGTAGCCTACCCACGAAGTAAAACACATTGGTCTTCTAAGTCTAAACTCCAATGTTCAAATAGTGATCCGCTTCAATAATTATTTAAAGTTGGTGAGAACCAACTTGTTCAAGACAATGTCCAATTATATTACCAACTTTGGCCACTTTCAACAACAGTTAATAATCCGTGCTTGACTTGAGCTCTGTCCTTCAATAGTAAGGTGATGTAGTTGGATGTGAGGATAGCTATATTTTTAGTATAACTTATTCCATAGACATTAGATTTTTAGGATTTAGATGTGTATGATGGGAGAGAGAGGTTAATGCCAACAGTTTCCCTCGCAATTCGCACGAGAGAGAGAGAGAGAGAGAGATTCCAGTCAAAAGATATCCAATTCCGACCAGACATCATTTTCAGCACAGAATTTTGTTTCTTCTGTCCAAGAATGTAAATAAAGGTAAAGATGGGATTTTCCTTGATATTCACCCCATCCCAATTCCCAAACAATAATTCAAAATTCCACTTCTCTCACACAAACATAGATAGGTGCAAAATGATCGCCTAATGGGCCATCTCTAAATATGCTCTCATCAAATATTCATATCCTAAGATTCACCATCATACGACATGCCAAGTTTAAAGTCGACTATCAACCTACTTCAACCAGAAAACCCTCTTTTTATTCAGGTTCGAGACCGGCTGGAGTATAATGTGGTGGCTAAGAAAGAGAGAGACGGGGGAAAAGAAAAGCAGACAAGGAGAGTGTCAATTTCTTTTTGTTCCCACTTATCTCAGTCTTCCACCTTTTTTACCTTGGTATTATACCAGTCTATTAAATTCCTGTTACGTTCCCAGGACCCCACCCCTCTCTCACCTTTTGACCAGATACCCTTGGTTTGGCTTACCCCTGCTTCAAGCCATAGATTTCATAATTGTCTCACCAAATTTCTTAAAGCATACTGAGTAGGCCTAGAACAGGAAAACTTTATGACCACATTACCAATAATTAGGCCTCCTTTTGGCAAATTTATACATGCTTTATAAAGAAAAATAGTAGTGGATACCATGAAATGTTTGGTTGAAATTAATGTTTTTGAGTTTGACTAAAATTATAAACCAAGTTATAAATTGTTATCGAAACAGAGGTTAAGATTGTTATACCTCCATCTTTTTCCCACTCTATTTTACCTCTCTCTCTCTTTCCCTCTCATCAATTCTCTATAAATACGCCCCTCTACACCACCAATTGCCTCTTCTTCTCAGACCCTCTCCCTCCCTCCCTCTCACCCACATACACAGAGCACAGCACCACCTCTCTCTTGCCATTCCCCAGCAGGGTGATGCGAAGAAAAATGAGCAGAAGAGTGAGTTTCAGTTATGATGTCAATGACATGCCAATCATTTACCAAAAGTATGGTGACAGTTCTAAAGCTGATGGAAACAAAAACAAAGTAAATGAAATATGGAGTTTCAGACATACCAGGAAATCCAGGTTTTCGCTGTCAGGTTTCTTCAGGCGTACTGGAGCAAAGGCCACCAGAGCACTTCGCTGTATGTCTAGTAGAAAGAGGTGCTCGCGTAAAGTTTCTTCTGCTTCTTTGGCAAGGTCACATTCATATGCTGAAACACTTGATTCTCAGAGGGCTGAGGCTATAGAGGACTGCATCGAGTTCTTGAATTCTTCATCATCTTTGCAAAGATCTAATTCTGTCGCAAGTTCTTGCTAGAAGTATTTTGCTTGGAGGAAGAGAAGGATGTAAATGAAATAGAAATGAATCTGTTGTGTAGGTTATAGCGAGAAGTTGTCTGTCTGAGAATTTTTGAAACTGACGAATGGAAACGTAGCAAGATTGAAATAAAATTCTGTTAGTAATCTAGGAACTCACCTTGCAATCCAGTAAAACATTTCAATGTAATGAATGAGAGATTTCATAGCATTTTGAAAGGCCAAATCATTTAGTTGGCACTGTATGCTAACCACGTGAATGAATGAATGAGAGATTTCATATATCAAAAATAATGCCCCTTAGTTTTTAATTTTAAAGTTGTAACGTTTAGCTGCTTTAGGTTTTTCTTTTCATTTCAAATGATGTAGTCAACAGGAACCCTTCAATCTAGCACACATAACAAGCAAATTTCAAGAAAGTTATTATCCGTCCAAACTCAAAATTTGATAATTAAGTACATAACTATGACTTCAGGTCAAAAATGTAGAACTTCGAATTTGTCCAATGAACCACCATGCTCAGGGATCAAGGGAGAGTCTCTCTAGACCTCGGACACCATGACTTGAAGCTTTCTTCATTTCCAGAGCTCGCTTGTAAGGGGGTGCAATAGGAGGTTGCACTGGATCTAAGCTCTGGTAAGATCCATCTATAACTTTAGGAAGTGGATATGAACGA